AAATAAGATTCACCTCTTGACGATTTAAGTGTTGTCTCTTAATAAAACTATTAAAAGGTAAAAAAAAAACTCTTATAATTTATGTAGGTCTCTATGTAAATTATATTATCAATTGAGTATAAAAAGTGTATCTAAATTTTTGTCATTTTAAATATTTATATATTAAATAAAATTACAAATAATTACTGAACATGTTCTGTGATACATATTTATATAACTCTCAGATATTATGAACTTTCAACTATTGCATAATTTAAAATTTTGTTATATAAATTGTTTTAGATTTAAAATTATAATATAATTTATTTTGATATATAAAAAATAAATATCTATTCAATATTTACTACTCCCTCAATATTTCCTAAAATTAACATATAAACAAATTGACGAGATTACGAGTGTTCTTACATTTACATAAATCACATGTTTTCTAGTTTGAAAATCTATATTATTGCTTTTACCGAGTAAGACTCTTCATCTATATTATTGCTCTTACCGAATAAGATTTTTGACCCTTGCCATGTTCATCCGGTAAGAAAAATTACTCAGAAAGCACTTACTAGGTAAGTATTTAGTAAACGACCCCTATGTAACTTATGGTAGAAGGCAAAAGTCACGGATCAAACACAATTGAAAAAAAGGGTGAATTCATGTCATAACTTTAAAAACACAAATCTAACATACCGTGTGATGGGCTTTTTTTTGTCGTTTTCAGTTCTCAAGGCCCAACCCAACTCCGAACCCACAACATCAATTGGGCTGTTATGGGCCATGATCCAATTTACTAAAATGTCCTTTTTATTGATTTTGTATGTTATATAATACTTTTAAAATAAGGGATAATATACTTTCATATCAAATTAAAGTATACAAATAACATTGAAATTCTTTGGATTATTTGAGAACCATCCTCATTCAAATAAATTTTGTCGTGAAAATTCAAGCGTATGTGAGACTAGACTTTTCGTCATCTACAATCCTTTATAAAAACCGTCGTTTACTTACATGATATACTGTATACTCAATGTCTGGATTTAGAAAGAATTACACGAGTTTTAAAGTATAACAGAACGAAAAGAAGTTAGCAGATGAGTGCTTTGGAATTCAGTAACAAATCTACAAACTAAGACGAGATTTGAGTACTAAACATACGTCTTAATGCATGTTCACCGTTGAAGCTGTATTAGAATTTTTTGGCTCAAAAAGGGGTTGAACGAAAGCCTCAAGTCATCAATCTCAATAAACGGATATTCTAGTATTAGATATATGATCAAAGAGTTATTCCTTGTTTTGAAAATTTAATGAACGGTTTCATCGTCCCAAGATGTTGACAGACATGCTAACAGTAAAGAACTGAAAAGAACAAGTAAACCAGACTATATAACTGAGTCAATATGAATTTTTAGTGCACTGTGTTTTAAGAATACACTGATCAACCTCTTTACAACCATGTACACAACTTCCAAAATCACATGGACAAACTCATAAAGATGAAGTAGGGTGTGAGCTTAGGATCGCCGACAGAGTTGCACATCTGATTAATTTATACGAGCCCAACTGAGCGAGTTTCGAGATCAACAAACTCCAAAAACGTAAGAAACACGTGGGAAAGCATGTCAACTTTAAATGATCATCACCTTTTATCTAAATAAAATCAATATACATGTGACCAACGTACTGAAATAACTTGACGGGTCAACACAGAAGAAAACTTTGACTGCGGGACCGCAACAAATTTCGATTTTAAAGATCTTTGGGTTTTTGCCTTGAATAAAAATTTTGTGGTCAAAAGTTTTCTTCAATATCTTGAAAAAAATAAATTTATCAACTATTTTAGTCTGTTCTTTGAAATTTAGGGGTCGTTTACCCAACGCTTACAGCTAAGAATCAACATTTTAACTTAACTTGCCGGGTAAAGTCTTAGTACATTAAAACGACATTATATGAAATAATCTTCCTGGCATAAACATTCAGCAGGTAAACCCCGTTGCTCTCACTTAATCACTTATACGACAAGATTCTCGATCCTTGTAATTTCTCTTACCGAATAAAATTCAAAATCATTTTAATTATACATTCGATAAATTAAAGTAACCGACAAAATAAACGTTTAGGGGTTGTTTGTTTACCTCTTCATAGTTCTATCAAAAGGTAACCTCTAAATCGCTAAGAGATGAATCTTGTTTGACAAAAAAATGGTCTGCCTCTTAATGGTTATAAAACGCGCTGAATAATTTTGTATCTTGGGCCTCTCTTAATCATTCAGCACCTAATTTCATTGTAAACAATTATATTTCATTTTACACTATATTATAAGAGTTTATTAATTATTCTGACCATAAAATCATTTAACAACTCTCAAACAGTCTTTAACATTATCCATTTAGTGATAGAAAAATAGTCATTTCATATTAATCCCTTTTTGAAGCAAAGCAATTGTAACCATAGGTTTGGAGGTGACACGTGTCTGGTTGGAAGAAAGGGGTGTAGTTGAATAATGTATGTGATTTGAAAGTTTGAAAAATAGATAGGGTGACGATGAGCCCACGTGTGTGTTGATGAAAAACAGGACTTTGGATGGTTACCTGTCACTAAAAAGCACTTTGGTACGGCAAAACCCACATTCCTTCACAGATTCCCCATTTTCACTCTTACTTATCTTTTTATATAGGGTGCAAACTATTTACATAGCTTTATACATGTCACACCATATTACATTTAATACATCGAGATATACCAGATTAATTTTTATCAAAAACAGAATTCATGAGATTAAAAATGATCAAGGGTCCAGATACTTTCTTACGTTTCACACTTTAACTTTTATTCTCACACGATTCTTCTTCGTCATATTATATCATTTTTTTTTCATTTGAAATCATTTGATTGATATAATGTTTCGATAGTGAAATTATGTTATACTCAAAACATATCAACCTTATGTGTTGTGTTACTGGTGAAACAACGCTGTATTATAAAAAAATATAAATCTATGTGTTGTTTATTGGTTAAGCAACATTGATGTTTTAAAAGCAAGACAACAAAAATGGGGTTTTCAAGGGAAAAATTGATTGGTTTATATTGGTTCATAGAGTTCCTAACATATGGATATTACATACACACATGTGTATAAAGGAGCGATCAAATGCAATTCACCTATATTTGCACAAACCGTGTAAACCACACTCATCCGTCGATTTCATTGTTTAATCTTACGAAATTTTTTCATGAAATTGTTTTATATAATATATTTTTTGATGAAGTTGTTTCATACATGATTATGAAATGAATGCAGAGGTAAATGAATGCAATTTTTTTTGCAATATTTAGGATGAATAATATACCATTCATGATAAATATTGTGTGATGTCTATAACACATGGGGTACTTTTCCTTGTCCCCCTGGTTCAGAACGAAATTTAAATTTGCAATTGAACATATATACCTATATATACTATGTCAATATGTCATAAAGTATTTACTAAAAGTAATAATATATCAAATATTAAATACTCATTATTAATACACATACTTTTTAAAATTTAAGCTTATAATTTATTATATATATATATATATATAATATCTTAGATATCAATGTTTCAACCTCATAGAACCAACTTATAAATACATTTAAGTACATGATAAACGCTAGACCATACTAACATAACATAATATTTCTACTTTTTTAAAACATATAATATTTATATACGGCAAATGCAACAAATAAATTCGCACACCCTCCTCATATTTGGTGATGTTTGAACCCATTGACCTCATAGTAGGCCAAATACTACGATAACACTAGGCCAAATACCCTTTGACGTAATATTTCTATTTTGTTAGACATAAATTCTTGGTTTTATTTATTAATTAAAGAATTGCATTAAGCACAAACTATTAATGAATAAATCAGTCTCTAAATACCAAGAACAACCAGCGATTATGGGTTTGATTCGTATGATTCTCTTTCCAAATACATGTACAACCAATCATATAAAACTTGAATTTATATATATTTTTAATTTATTCTCCATCTCTGTATAACTAGCTTTTTTTTATATGTTTAGTAATTATGAGTATATATATATATATATATATATATATATATATATATATATATATATATATATGCAAAATGAAAAATTAATTGAATATGACATATTTAAGATTTAAGAAGTATAGATAAGTCGTACCAAATGATTGATGAAGAAAAAAAAATTATAAGTAGACAAGAGAAAACAACATATTCAAGGTTAGAAAAATATTTTTGATGTATCAAAGTATCAACCCGACCAGCCTGTACGGTTTGGTTTTTGGTTGATATTTTTCAAACTGCAAGCATTGAATTAGGTTGTTCAAATGCCTTCAACCCGATCAACCTAACCTATAAACACCCATACTCTGAATATAGCAAAAATTCTTGTTTTGAATCCTAATTCAAGATTTAAAAAAAATTAAGGTTAGCTAAACAACAAACACCCTTAACAAAAACAAATTTAATTATAAAAACATCGTGTTCTGTTCAACTTTTGCATGTTTTAAGATGTAAATGAAAGAAAGAGTGATTCTAAGGGGTTGGTTTGATGATTTTCCATTAAGTCATGTATGAATAAAGTTGTCTGTATAATTTGATTTTTTTTTCCATAGATGAAATAAATGTTTTCTTTTTAATTGGGAATGGTAAGTTTGAAAAAAAAACTTGATTTTCTACATAAAACTCGTTCATAGAAATTTACTGAATAAGCCACTTTCAGATATCATAAAATTACTGTCAAACAGATATATATAACTGATTGAATAAACTATGAGTCTGATTAACATCAAACATGCCATAAGTAACCTATCCATTCCCATTTTCTGCTATTTTTTTTTCAATAAAATACATCAACATTGATTTCTTTTTTTTCATTTCTGATTTCAAATTTAATCCAAAAAATAAAAAAAATACAAATAGCTATTAACACAAACAAAAATGAAAAAGGCCAAATGAGTTGTGATATTGCCATCTATATATTTTCCAAAATTTTCAATATCGGTCCTACTAAATTGATTAATGACATAATACCCCCTTGTAATTAATGTAACAAAGACCTAACTAGCTATTAAATAGCGATTAAAAAAACATGCATCATGGCATGTACAATTTGTTTCCACATTTGCACCTCCATGCTTCCGGGTAGTACTCGGCAGTCACCGGTGTTCCTGGCGGCACCGGTATGTGAACCGGCTTACACGGGGTGCACCGCCCGCACTTCCAAGCACAACGTGGCGGCGATGATCCCGGACCGCTTAATTTCCTCCTCCTTGAAGAAGTGGTGGTGGTCCTCGAATACGACGACGTCCGTTGTTCACCGGTGGTTTTGAATTTGCCTATAGCCTTTTTCAATGTACAACACAAAAAAGCCATATGAGTTTAAAAAGATGGACATTGTGCATTAGGAGTTGTACATTATTAAATCAGTGATGGACAATGACTAACATGCGCCGCCCACCAAAGTGGACAAGGCGTGGTTCACGGGAGCTGACCGTATTAGCGAACATGACCCCGACATATACGGGACTGGGTCCCTTTCGAAAAGACCGATTATTGGGGTTATTGGGTCAGTGGCTAATATACGCCTTCCCCCAGCTAACATGCGCCCCCCAATTTTCCAAACTGTTTTTTATAAATGGGAATATAATAAACCACATTGCTTAATTGAATTGAATTTTTAAAAACTATTTAGATTATAAACTATGAATTGTTTTTTTTAAGTATATATATATATTTTATATACTGCAAATGTAACAAATAAACTTACACACCTTCATCACATTTGGCAAGGTTTGATCCTATGACCTTCTAAAAGACCAAATACTACGATACCGTTAGGCCAAAGACCATTTGATATAATATATTGTTTTCTTTTCATTTAATGTAACAAATATCTGAATCTTTCTTATTTAGTATTTATTTTAATCGGTTATCAGTTAAATATTGTTAATATATTTCTTGTATGAGAAGATGATGATGAATGGGTTCGTTAAGGAAGTTACCATATAGTATTACAAGGGGTTTAATTATTAAGATGTTTAAAATTTGTGAGATTCGTGAGAATTTTGTACATTAAGGTTTTGTTTTACATGATTTTTTTTATCTAAGTATACATTTAACGTATTGATTAACATATATTTGTTTCATAATGTGTTTGTTTTATATGTATTCGATTCATGATGAGAAGCTTGTTTACGTGTATTTTTTATTTAACAAACACACCAGAAAGTTCACATTATGTGCCGAGTACATGTGAAACAAACACATTGTAAAATAAATATATGTTAATTACTACAGTAAAATTCTAATCATATATAAACAAAATCGTATAAAATAACACAATATGCAGTAGTTCTTAGAAATCTCAGGATTAATAATCCATTTGAATATGTAAGAAGTAGCTTATTAAAACAATAGCTTTTCAAACTCCATGAGCATTTTGCCACCTTTTTTCAATTACATCCCTCATTAATATAATATTAACTTTTATTTATTTTATTAATTATTAATTAATATTAATTTTAAATTATTCATCAATATTAACCATTAATTATTTAAAAATAATAACAATAGATTATTTTA